AGAAATTGTCGTAAAAGTAATTGCGGTTATTGATTTTGTTTCAAAATATTGATTCTATCTGAGAATTAATTTTCTGTTTATTAGAATCTTTGATTTCGAATTTGAAATCAATTGAGATTTTAATTCTGTCACGTAACATAATTATAAGATTTCTATTAATAGAAATCATGGGAAGTAACAACTCTGTTACTGGTTTGTTTCAGAATTTTAGTTCATGACTAAATTCTGTTGATTGAATAAATCAAAAAATAATAATTTTGGTTTATTGTTGGAATTATTTTGTGTTAAACGAAATAATGGGTAATCTTTGTGATTCACCTAATTCGTGATTTGGAAAGTTGATTCCAACTCAAACTTCAAATTTAAATTCAACAGTGTTGAAGGTTGTAAGCCACAACAAGAAGCTTATACAATTCTAAAGATAGAATTTCAAGATGAGATAACATAAGATGTTATTTTATTTGGTCATTGTGAATTTGACCAAATGTGAGATGATCCTCCTATTATTAGAGAGGACAAGGTAAATATTTTTACCATATTAAAATGTGTAAGCATTAATCATGACCTTTTAATATAGAATATTAAAAATGGCATGAATAAAGAATATCGTTTGATATTTATAATTATTATAAGTTATTATAATAATAATGGTTGGTGTTTGGAAACATTGTACTATTAATTTCTTTTGAGAAATTTTATAGATATAAAAAGATTCAGAGTTTAATTAAAGTCTCTTGAATATTGGGTTGTCAAAGTTAAATGATTAGTTCTTTTTATTTCTAGTTGTTAATCATAATACGGTTGCCTTGATATCTGTTTTGGAAGATATACACTATAAAAAGAGAAATAAATTGTAAAAATTTATTTCATCTTAGAATCTTGCATTGATTCTAACTTTAAAAATGAAATAAATTGTTGAATTTATTTTCCTATGAAACTTATATGATTATGTTTTGTAAAATAAAATAAAATGTCAAATTTATTTTCTTAGAAATCTAGATTGATTTCATCTTGTAGAAGAAAATAAATTGTTAAATTTATTTTCATAGAATCTTGTATGATTCTATTTTGTAAAAGTAATTAAATCATTGATGATTCTATCTTGTAAAAAGAAATAAATTATTGATTTTATTTCTTGAACATCTCGAATCAAAGCCTAGAAAACATGATTTTCGAAGATGTAATCACATTCTCAAAGCCTTATTTGATGCATGTTATGAAGTGTACATTGTTTAAAATGGATAAAGAATTATGTATGATATTGAACCGTAACTACAAAATGGAAGATGTTGGTACTAATGAATTATTAGTGATCAAGTTCTCAAAATTCGTAATAATGACACAGACAATGGAGAATAAATATTTTATTACCTCTAGTGATGATAGCAAAAGTATTGCTATGTGTATTTGCTAAAAGAGAAAAAGTGATGTTATAGAGAAATTTGTTTTGTATTAACATGAAGTTGAAAACCAACTTAATAAAAATATTAAGATAGTAAGAGGTGATCGTTGTGGTGGATATGTTGAGCCATTCGATAAATTTTGTTCACAACATAGAATTATTCACGAAGTAATACCACCATATTCTCCTCAATCAAATGGAGTAGTTGATCGCAAAAATCATACTCTAAAAGAAATGATGAATGCCTTGTCAGGCAGTTATGGGTTATCAAAAAACATGTGGGCGGAAGTTATCCTTTCAGCTAATTACCTTTTAAATAAGGTACCTCGAAAGGAAAAAGACAAGAAAACATACGAATTATGGAAAGGTCATAAATCTTCAAGATACCAAAGGCACAAATGGATATGTATTCAATCTAGGATACAAAGTTGTGTCTTGGAAATCCTCAAGACAAATGTTGATAACTAGATCCACAATGGAATCTGAGTTTGTAGCTCCAAATAAATCTGGACAAGAAGCAAAATGACTTCGAAACTTTCTTAAGGATATTCTAGAATGGGCAAAACTTGTTCCACAGTATGTATATATTGTGACAACCAAATAACAATTGCAAAAGCACATAATTTTATGTATAATAGTAAATTGAGACAAATGCGTCATCGACACAATACCATTAGGCAACTTATCTTAAATGGAGTTATCTCTATTGATTATGTAAAATCAAAAGATAACATCATAGATCCATTAACCAAAAGGTTAAATTGAGATCAAGTTGAGAAAACATCTAAAGGAATAGGGCTAGAGCCCATGAAATTTAAAGGCGTTATGTGAAGGAAAAACCCTACCTTGTTGACTGGAGATTTCAAGATCTAGGTTCAAATGGATAACCTAATTGCATAAACCGTGTACAATCAATGTGGGGCTTTCTTATGCCAAGTTCGTTCTTATGATGTAAACAGTGATTAAAGTGGTATAGGCTAAGCTAGGCTTTTAATGACCATTTTGTGTCGCGGTGAGCCGAGCAACGTAAGTCACCTATGTGAGAGTGAAGTTGGGCCACTTCAAGGAGACTATCGGACATAGTTCTCTTAAACTCTTATAGAACTAGGCGATGTCCATGGCGTTAGGGACATGCCCATGAGAACAAAATTTTTGTCAAAGGGGTAGTTGTGTAAAGTATGTCATCGTTTACACAAACGAAATAACAGTTCAAGGACATCGTGTATATTGTTTAACCAGTAAAGTAAATATACTTTCACAAGGAAAGGTTCAAAGGAGGAAACCTACCTATCCTATGCAACTGTCAATCGTAAAGGCTATCACCACATCAAGTCAAAATGTTTTTTTTATTAAATCATCAATTTCATTCATGTGGGGGATTGTTGAAAAAAAATGGTGAATTACATCGATGGATTTAAAATTTATATTAAATTCAGGAGGAAATATATGTTTAATATTATAAATTTAAAAGATATTATAATATGTTTAAATTTAGTTATTAAAAGAGTTTTGGTTGGAGTAAAACTCTCATGTTTAATATTATAAATTTAAAATATATTATAATTTGTTTAAATTTAGTTATTAAAAGAGTTTTGGTTGGAGTAAAACTCTCAAGTTTAATATTATAAATTTAAAAGATATTATAATATGTTTAAATTTAGATATTAAAAGAGTTTTGATAGAGTAAAATTTTGAGATTTAATATTTTAAATTTTTTAAAAGATATTATAATATATTTTTAGATATTAAAAGAGTTTTAGTTGGAGTAAAACTCTCTCGAAATTCTCCTAAAATATTGAGCAATCCTCTCATTTTTTTCATATCTCAGAATTCAAGAAGTATTCTTCTCTTGAAAAATATTTTTTTCTCCTTAGAAAATATTCTGTTTTTCCCTTAGTTTTTGTGATCTCTATTGTTGTGCTACTATAGTTGATCATTAAGTTATATCCTGGGAGATAGATGACCGAAAGATCTCGAGCACTAAGAAGTGACAAAAATTTGTCTTAAAAAAACTGTGTAGTGACATGCCTCAACTGATTTCAATCACAAGATCAAATATAAAGGAGTATTTTTATTTCCTTTTCAATTATTTTTATTTTAAAGAATTTGATTTCTTTCTTTTACTTTTGTTATTAAAATTATGTTAAATATGCTAAATTTTAAGTTTTAGTTTTATATATTTTTTGAAATTGAATCCTTGTATTAATTTGGGTTCGAAAATATTGGTCCCTCCATTAATTTTTAGTCAAGCTTACTATTAATTATTGACATGTCAGCTATAATGAAAAGACAACATAAATTTAATCTCCTATGTTTACATTTGTGTCAATTTGACCCTTAATTTTTTAAAATAAATAAATAAATATCATTTATTGAATAATATAATTTTTAACCATCTAGTTTACAACTTTTAAAGGGTTAAATTGATAAAAATAGTAAATGTAGAAGACTAAAAAATATTCTACTTTTTCTATAGCTGTCAAGTCAAAAATTAATGATTAAACTAGGCATTAGTTAGGGAAGGAACCAAGCTTTTCAAATAAAAAAAATTGACTCAATTTTATAAAAAAAAAGTTATAGTATAGGAATTAAATTTTAAATTAGTATAGGGAACTTTAGTGCATTTAAAGTTTAATGTTTTTATAAAAATATTTTTTTAGTCTAACTAATTATAAAGTAATAAATAATCAGACCATGCAAAGGCGTGAAATCTCATACAATCAAACTTTAAAATAAATAATTAAATCCTCATTTTTTCACTAAATAAAAATAAAAGCATTTCATTATATTAAAAAACATGGATTATAAGTTAAACGAGGACTACAATGCAATTGATGTAAGTTACATGGGTTGTTGAATTGAACATATAGGTCCAGAGAAGAAAAAAAGCGGTTCAAATGATTGATATTTGGATAAGCTAAGTTATTTAATTAAAATTTTCTTCCTTTGTGGTTTACATAATTTGTGGAGTGATTGGAATCTTAATGTTGTATTTTAAAGGACTAGATCTGCATCTACATATGCTACCTTTTTCTTTTGGAAAAAAAATCCCATGGTAATTAAAATAGAAATAGGGGGAAAGTACAAAAAGGTTTGCAGATTAGAGGATATTATTTTGATGAGTTATTTTACTATCAAAAGTTATAAAATAATCTCTAATTATAGGATGTCATTTTGTTGAGTCTCTCGACTATTAAAAATTACAAAATGATCTCTATTTATGTTCCAAATTCATCATTTTCCGTCAAAAGGTTGACGAGTTTGATGTTAATTTGTTAGCTGAGATATGATAAAATACGATCTGAGAATCTCAAATAACTATCATATCTCAAACAACATATTAATATCTAGCTCAGAATGTCGTAATTTTTTTAACAAAAAAGACGAATTTAGAACTGAATAATAATCAGATAATCATTTTGTAACTTTTAATAACAAAAACTCAACAAACGATATCCTATAATCGAGGGACCTTTTAACTTAATAAACTACATAAAAGTTTTAATATTATATTTCATTTAATTATAAAAGAATTGTCACCTATACATACCAAATATGACGTGAAGATGACTCTAGGTTTGGATATTTTTTTTTTGTATTTTAACACCAAAAGATAAGAATCAAAGCAAATTTAAGTTGCAATTGTTTCTTACACAAACCAGACCTAAAATAAATGGTTGTCCCTTATTCTCATATGTGGGTAAGGGGAGGTAAGATAGTAGGTTGTCTCAACACTAGGTTAAGAGCAAGTTCCGTAGAAAACCTCTAAATTATGAAATGCCCTCCATAAAACTCGATCCCACGACTTCAAAGTTAAGAACTTGTACTCTACCAACTGAGCTCGATACAAACCAGACCTAAAATGATGTGCAAAAATCCTAAAAATAGTACATATATCCTCGACAAAAGTAAAGCTTCCGTTACATGTCTTTTAACTGTACCCATCTTTTCTATAGGTGGATCCGACTTGGTTGTGCCTTCGTCATCCTCGCCTCGCCGTACGGTTCGTCGTTATCGATCTTCTTGTTGTTTCGGAAAGCAGCGCAGCCGATGACATAGAAGATGACAAGGAGGATAAGCACGACGATGTTGATTACCGATACTTTCCTCCAGCTTTTCTTGAGGCTGCCGAGCACGCCGGCTTTGCACGAGTCACATTGGTAGCACAACATCTGTTGGTCATTGCTCCACCGCGAGCAGTCAAGGTCCGGCCCAACCAGCCCGCCGCCGGGGTTCCATAGCGTCTCGTTGACATAGACATTGCCACAGTCAGTAGGGGGCTTGCAGCAACCGGACTACAATTAAGAATTAGTGGCTTGCATTAGTTACTTAAAACACTAATATTTTCTCTTAATTTTACTAAACAATCCCTCTTAATTATAGATAATCATAGATAGAGTTGAATTTTTTATTACTCAAACTCAAACTCGACTCAAAAAATAAACTCATCAACTAATCCTTTGACCCGACATATGTGTATATATATATATATATTTATCAGGTAAAATAAAAATTTAATTAAAATAATAGAATGAAATATTATCGTAATTATTCATATACGTATAAATGACAATCACTTTTAAAAAAAACTACAATCCAATTTAAATTTAAAAATTGAAGAAAAAAAGTCGACTTAATCAAATTAGGTTAAAACCCGTCAAATTTGAATCAAATGCATATCCCTACTCATAAATAGAAAAATAAATAGAAAATTTTCTGTATGCATGTGAAGACTTGAAGGAGTATAGCGGGAATCATTCCATAAATTTTGGTAAAAATATTGGGCAATTAATTAAGATGTAGGAATATGTTTGGCATCCGAGAAAATGAAATTAATTCCCACTTTTGTTTTTCTTTCATCTCTCTAGTTAGGATTAATGAAGCAGACAAAAATAAAATAATTATGAAACCAAAGGAAAGGAGATGAACCTACCAAAAGGCAATCAATTAAGGATAAAGCAAGACATGATTTGTACCCATCCAACTTTTACAATGATCTAATTTGATTAGATTATTTAATAAAAAAAATCTTTTTAAAATTTAATTATATTAATATGAAATAGCAATAAAGTATGGCGCGCCTTTATGTATTATCATATATAAGTAAACACATCATTTTGGGTATAATTAGGGTAATATTATAACCAAACCAATTATTTAGTTTAATAAGATATTTTTATTTTTATTTTAGGATTTACGATAAATTTTAAAGTGACGTTGAAATTTAAGATGACGAGTTTCATAATATATACTTTTTTAATGAGTCATGGGATGCATGTCTCACAAGTCGAATATATTTAATATATTAATCGACTATTTATGTCGGCGTGACGAATTTGATTAATTCCTTTTAGAATTTTAAAAAACATCAATTAAAAAATATATATTATTTTAATAAAAAAAAGAACTCATCAAACTGACTTGATGGATTTCAACAGGTGTAAATTTAAAATTTTAGACAAGAGTATCCGTTGACGAACGGTCAATTTTTAAAAAAAAAATCAATGGAAAAATTCATATCTTAAAATGGATCTAAATTAGATCAACTGAGTAAATACGGTAAAGCATGTAATAAAATTATAGGAAAAATTGCATACCTCAATAGGAGAAAGCTTCCTCATGGAGAACATATCATAAGTTTCAGGGACGCCATTAAAGGATCTTCCCATCTTGCTACAAGTTTTGGAATCCCTTACGCAGGAGCTAATCTTAGCCCAATAACCCTCGTCCACCACTCGGTCCCTGAGCCAACCCGAGTAATCCTGCAGGTAATACTCCAAGTAACCTTTGTTCATCACCGGCCGCCCCGACCCCTTGTCGGTGACGGCGTAAGCGAAGATTATGAACCCGATGAGCGCCGCGATGATGAAGAACATCACGAATAGGTAGAGCCACATCAAGAAGGTGTTCCTGTAACACGCACCGGCGAAACCCGCCAGGGAAACCACCATGATCGAGGCTCCTATCACTATCAACGGCCACTGTAGGAACTTTAGACAATCGGTGCTGTTGGCTCGGCTGCTCAGCCATATTCCTCCGCCCAGTATTACTACCGAAAGCAAAAATGTCATGAAGTTTAGTAACCCTATCAAATGGTTGCTTGATCTCATTTTTTCTGGTTTATTTTCTCTTCTGAGAGAAGCTGCTTACGAGTTAATGCAATGGAATGGATCTGCTATAGATGCGGGGTTTTTTTTTTCTTACATGGGGCTGATGATGGGTATGTTAAGGATGCTACTCGCTTTGGGTTTCTTACACGTGTCCGTCTTTGTTTGGAATTACAAAAACATCCTTAGATTTTCGTGTATTTTAATGATATAATATGGAATTATTAGAAGATTTTTTACTTGACTTTGGGGTTATTATATTGTGCTGTGTAGTTTGAGTGAAGCTACTGGTTACTTGAAATATAAACACTTTGAAAGTTACTGGGGAATTTCTCGAGTGATGATGGGAAATTATCATCATGCCCATGTGAGCGGGATTATTATTTAAAAACCACCCAAAAAATTATTTATTGGAATAGTAACCCAAATAGCATTAACTGAAAAAAAAACTCTTAAATTGTACGTATATAGAATTACCTCACGTCCTACAAAACACGTATAAAAACCTTGCATTTTATAGGGCGTGAGTCTCCTTCAATGTAAAAATATTTTTCATACAATATAATTTAATATTTCAATAAATGATCTCACGTTCTACAAAAAACGTGAGGTGCCCGAAATATTAAAACATTTCGGTAATTTATCATGTGTGGTATTTAACATACCTCGCTTTTTACAAAATATGAGTTATATAGATTTCCAGCTCAAATCGTAAGTGTTTATAGGCGCATTTAAGAGGTATTTTTAGGTAGTTAATCTAAAATTTTTCATAATTTATAATATTATGGGCTTATTTTTGGAATTTACCTTTCAGTTGAGGTCAAGATCAACACATACGAGATATTGTAAACGGTTAAAAATCATATTGAAATTATTTCAAAGCTTGTTTTATGCATGAAGAAAAAGTTAAAATGATTTGATAGACATATTCGAGGAGTTTTTTTGTAGTTAATATGAAAATTTTCGTAATTTATAAGATTAGTGGTGTAGTATTATAACTTATCTTTCAATTGAGGGAAATATAGCCACATATAAAGCATTGTAATCGGGGTAAAAATCAAGTTCAAAATGGTTCCAAAGCTTCGTTTTCTACATAAAGAAGAAGCTAAAATGACTTGATAGGCATGTTTGGAGCGGGTATTTTCGGTAGTTAATTCGAAATTTTTGTAATTTATAAGATTAGAGGTGTAGTATTGATACTTATGTTTCAATTGAGGCTAGTATCGACACATACAAGACATTTTAAGCGGTGTAAAAATAGTGTTCAAAATGGTTCAAAACCAAAAGAAATTGAAAACTAACGAATATATTTTGTTAATTACAAAAGTAGTACATAATTTTGACTCTTTGGTTCTTTCTCGATGTTCAACTAAATCCTTGTCATAGTAAATCTTAGTCACTTAATTAAAATAACATAAAATAACATATCAATAAATATAATTCCAGAAATTAAAATAACATAAATTTTAATATAATAAAATACAATTACATAATTATGGTACATAAATTGTAAACGAAACAATGTTTTTCGTTGTGCTTGATCTTAGTTTTTATAAAACAAGAAGTTTCTCGAATCTTCTATGTAAGAAGGAAGCCTTAAGTTCTCAAGTAGAGGTGTGCCATTTGTTATATTATCGTCACCACTACCAGAAGATTATACATTTTTAGAAGTTTCTTGAGTGAGTTTGATAGAACGGGAAGTTTTCCTAAAGGTTTTCTAAATTCCATGTACAAGGGAAACCCTAGATTCTCAAGTGAATGTGTGTCATTTGTCATATCAACATAATAAGAGTTAAAAAGATGATGCATTTTTATAAACAATAAGTTTCTCAAGAATGTCAAGTCACTCGTGTTGAAGAAGGTTTATGAGACTAGCGAGTTTGATGGAGAGTGAATTGGGCATAAAAATGGAATTCAGAAACCACGCCCACGACTGGAATAGCAACAAACACCCTTCAATGACTGGTTTTTTGGGATTAACATTCGGTTTGATGTAAGAAGAGGATGCCACCGGAAGAGGTTGTTTTTTTAGAAACGATTAGTTTCTTGAGAATGCCAAGTTACTGGTGTTGAAAAAGGTTGATGAGACCAGTTAGTTTGATGGAGAGTGAATCGGGCATAAAAATGAAATACAAAAATCATGCCCACGATTGCAACAACAACAAACACCTTCAAATTACTTGTTTATTTGGATTAATAGCCGGTTTGATAGAAGAAGATGATGCCTTTTTAAAAATGATAAGTTTCTCGAGAAGGCATGTTACTCATGTTAAAAAATGTTCATGTGAAAGACAATTTTGATGAAACAAAAAGTTTCTCGAGAACATCATGTTTAATAGAAGAAATGTGAAAGATTTACCCATGGCCTTGAAGAAAAACTAAAAGGACGACGTCCTTATAAAAGTCATCTTCTTTGAGTGGCATAACTTATAACATCGATATTGGCATAAGGATCTCTAAGTTTCATGCCAAGTCGTGCCATCAGAAGAGGATCCCATTATAAGTAGAGACCCAGAGTGCATTATAATTTAGAATGACACCAGAAGTGGATGCCTTATATATGTAAGGACCTCAAGCTCTATAAAATGCATTTTCCATTGAGATTCCTGACGTGGAAGCACCTTAAGTGTACATATTTGATTTGACATGTCAAGGGCCTCGCGTTCTATAAGGCCCGAGATTTGGGGTAAAAATCTATAAAGATGAATGATAATCATGTTGGATGGATAACTTCGTAAAAAATAATTAATGACAAGATTTTCTATAATCGTGTTACATTTTGGAAGTTATTTATACACTTCCTTCAATGCCAAGATCAAGAAAGATGAGTTATATGATTTTATTTCAATGGAGCTTAAAAATCTACAACATGACAGATGTCTTCATTGCAAGTAAAAGTTATTGTTGATGAGCCCGTCCTTGAATCATATTTCATGTTGACCTATCA